TACTTGCTACCCTTCCCACTTTCTCCCTTCTTGTTCAGAATTCTTAACATTTGTCTATTCCCAGTTTTCCTCTATTACTATTGATTGGAATATACTCATGTACAAGAAATGTCCAGTTTTGAATTGTTTGAGAAGTGGTGGATTCAGTCATACGCTAACCTAATATCGGTACTACTTAAAAAAAAATGCTTGATCAGCACCACATATAATAAACTCTTGCTTTTATCCAACAAACATTTTTCCTCCAATCTTAATCCACTCTCAGCAGTATACAACAGTGTATATGAGGGGCTTCATGAAGAAATTTACAGTATCTCTTCACTCTAGTTCATCACAAACCTTCTGAGGCTCCTTCACACACCCATCTTTCTCGAGACCCTTTCGACTTCAAGCTTCCCTGGTTTTCCTTCTACCTCACTGATTATCTCTAAATTACATAAGGACATTATTATGAGCCATCATCTCTCCCTCTCTCTCAACCTGCTGTCCAGGTAATTTCATTCATTCTCATGGCTCTATAAATCCGTTTTCAAAATTTCTACAACCTGCCCGGACCTCTCTTTCTGAGCAACCAACTGCCTATCTACAATATCACTTAGATACCCCGATATAAACCTCAGGAAAAAGAACTCTTCATTCCCCTTCCCAAAATCTGTTCTTCTATACTTTGGTAACAGACACCACCACCCATCAGTGTCTCAAGCTAGAAATCTGGACATTTTATTTGATCCTCGCTTTCTGTCGCATATTTAAGCCCTCAGCAAATTTAATCAATTTTGCCTCCAACAGAAATGTCAAATCCATATTCTCTCCACTTTACCACTACCACCTAACGCCACAGTACCAACGATCACCTTTCACTTTTGACAACCACCGAAAAGTCTTACTTTTCTCTTCTTTTCGTAGCCCTTTACCTATCAACTATCAAACAAAATCTAAAGAAGTTATTTCTAAAAGCTAATTATTTTTAAAGTACTCCCAATTGTTCTTATAAAACAACCCAAATACTTTATAACACCTACTACATAAACAGACCCCATCTAACATCTGATGTGTTCCCTAGCACTCATTCATACAACACTCCTGTATGTACTGGGCTTTCATAGAACATATCTCAGAGCCTTCAAGTCACACTTATTTCTGCGACCTAGAGTGTTCTTCTTGTTGGTCTTCCAACCTGCAGGCCATTCTTGGCTTAAATATTACCTCAAAGAAGTTTCCCCTAAGTCTTTCTAAAGTAGATCCCCCCAACCAATATATTCTAAAACAGCATGCTATTTCCTCAATAACATTAGCTATTTATTTAACCACATATCTGAGCAA